GGAGACCATCGTCAACTTCAGGAAGAACCGGCCTAACCATGTTCCACTGCTTATCAACAGCTCAGCTGTAGAGGTGGTCAGCTGCTGCAAATTGCTGGGGGTGCACATCGCAGACAACCTCATCTGGACATGAACACCACCTCACTGGTCAAAAGGACACAGAAGCGCTTGTACTTCCTATGGAGGATGAGAAGAGCTACTTCCCCAACCCCTCCTCACGACCTTCTACAGAAGCACCATAGAGAGCGTCTTGACCAGGTGTCTCACTGTGTGCTGGGCAGGCTGAAGCACCTCAGACTGGAAGAAGGTGAGGAGAGTGGTGAGCACATCATCAATAACCCCTCACACCCCCACCATTGAATGTTCTCCCTGCTGCCCTCTGGGAAGAGGCTTCGCAGCATTCAATGCAGGTCCAGCAGATTCTGTAACCGCTTCTTCCCCACTGCCATCAGACTGTTGAACTGTTGAAAAAACTCTAAATCAAGTCACAGACTCTGCATCACACTGCTAATACCAAACCAAAATACTGCATATTTGCACCATATATATTTGCCTTGAAATGCTCTAAACTTCAATATCACTGTGTTTGTTGCACCATGGTTTTTGATCACTGCTGCACTTTATGAAATGAAAATATTAATTTTACTACTCAGTTGCTGCTCATTCACTGTCTGAAAGCTGTAAAGAAAACTAAATAAAAATAAAAGTGAGAATAAAATGTGTCTAACACTTTTTAGCATTTAGTATTACACTGCTTGAAACTCCCATTTGTTCACTTGAAATGTGTATGCACTTTATGTTAGGCTGTCAATCATGATAAACACATTGTAGCTTTTTGTTGTTGTGTGACAAAATGTAAAAAAGTGACTGAAAAAATAAAAATAGATTATCAATCACAGGTCATCTTCTTATAGAAGCCAGTTTATTTATCTGGAAAATAAGTTTTGCCTGACCTTCTATGAGGCTGGATCAGGGGTCACATGTCTAGAAGGGCTTTTAAGATGGCAACCACCTCTGCTGGTGCCCATCTTCACTTAAGCCCCCAGGGTAGAAACTTCCTGTTTTCCAAATGAAAAACAAAAGCTACCCTGTTATCGTGCTTTGTTACCACCTAGCACGTCTTAGGGAGTCATGAGGTTGAGGTAAAGGAGGGGTGAGGGGCAAATCTTACATTCTGCAGCTGCAGCAGGGGGTCAACTCGGTAGGAATGGACCTTCTTTTTTATTAGCATTCCCCCCTTGTTCCAAAAGGAATGGGGGGGATGCTAATAATATGTAATACACATGTTACATTCTGAGTATTTGAATGTGGACTATGGAGATTTACACATAAAAAAGCATTATAAAGGTCCTTAAAATAACAAGAAATTGCATATATATATCTATCCTTTAAAAAGTAAAAAATTATCAGAAAAGATGAAAATTTGTGTGTGCACAGCCACACAGAAACATCTTTACAATATCTAGAGTTATAATTACAGTATATGCAAAATCTATCAATACTATCTCTTTTGTCCTGAAGATGTGATGGTATACACATTTATCTTTAAGTAAAGCAATAACGTCTTAATTTGGTAGCATCATAAAACCACATGGAAGGCATTCCTTTAATAACTGGTAGAAATTTCAATTTTAGGTTATTTATAAGAAACCAATAAAAATCCTGATTACAGTTGCTTCAAATACCCATCAAAGGCCATTTGTTGGCTTTAGGTTTTGCTTTGCATGTAATCCACAGGATTTGATATAAAAATTTGGATGGTACCATACTAACTAACAAGAGTTTAACATGTGTATCACATGCAGTGTATGGCCTTTAGATATACACCACCTTTTAAACCTTGGATTTTTACAAATTAATTCACATGTTTTTGTTATTCCGAGAGTTTAACATGTGCATTCCATGTAATTTCATAGATTAAATATCATTGAAAACATTTTCTGAGTTTCAAATTCACCTCAAATTTAATCATGGAAATCCCACTTGATAATTTAAAGTGCTAACACTCAAACTCACAAGCTTTAATTTCACATCATATACAATTCATCAGTTTTGCCTATGCATTGCATGTAATCCAAGAGGCTTTACATGGAAAATTTACATAGGTAAATCTGAAGAATTTCACATGAACATCAACCGTACAATGTAGGGTGTTTTCAAGGCCATCACCTACACTAAAATTATTTGGTTTCTCATGGAAGTTTATCATGTTAAATGTATGGTGTTATCCGAAAAAACCATGTCTGATTTAATTGTATGACGCAAAGACAAATGAAGTGATAAAACAGTCTTTGGTCTGTTATGGAAAAAGTACAGTAAACTGTTTATAGATAGTTCCCACATGACGTCACACTCCCTCTATTCTGGTATTGTGATAACATTTGATGATTGCAAACAGAGATGCAGCGGTTGTATGCTGTCAATTACAAACGGGATTAAAAAACACTTTATTAGCAGGAAGTACATTTCAAATGTAACATTTGGAAATAAAATTTCAAATATTTTTACACTTACAGCTGATATTGGTCCTAGTACCGCCTTCCACGGGTATACTATAAATATGGATTATTTCGGAGTCATTTACTTCCTGTCTGGTTTTGTGGAAACTATCTACTCTTATTTAGGAGCTTACTTGGAAGAAGTGAGTACCAAAGTTTACCCAGGTGAGAATGAATGATACCAATAGAGACAACGCATGCAGTGACATTTAGATGCTAAAGCTATAGCTTGTTTACACAAGTTTCCCTCTATTTCTTCTGTCAGAAACCACCACTTAGCCAGACAATGGTCACAATGTGGTCCTCATCTGAGAGTAGGCCGGCTTGACAAGGCGAGCACTCAGCTGGGGCTCTCTGGTTTGCTCTGGAGAGTGGATGTTTACATCAGTGGGAGGAAGCATTGTTTTAACCTAGAGGGGCCATTACAAACACACACACAACTTCTGAAGAAAATGAAAATAAAAAATGCAAGTTATACCATGAAAATAGAGTGAAAGCTTTTTTTTCTTTTAAGAAGAAACAAATAAATTAAATTATTACAAGACTAGACTAAGTAAATACAACTCTTCAAAATAAAATAATATTATTTTGCTCAGGCTCTATTTTAAGTAGAATAAGAGAATTTTTTGTTAAGAAACATTAAACCTTTAAATTTTTAATCAAGCAAATGTTTTATTAGTACAGTAAGTGCATTGGGTTTAAAACGTGTTTATGCTGTTTAAATAACTATAAGAATAAAAAAAATATTCAGTGCACGACAAAAAATAATCCTAAATTGTTTTCATTTATAAAGACTTAATTATAACTTTAGTTATGTTACAGTAGCAAAATACAACAGAGTGTACCTTAAACACTGCATACTGCTTTTGTTAAAAGAATGAAAACATTGTAGTGTTGCATCCAACTTATTCTGATCCTTGAGCCTACTTCGTATAGAGCTGACACACAGGGCTCAGTGCTCTTTCAGTGTAGATTAACTTCAGCTAATGAGCTGGTCAATGTGACAAGCGGCGGCGGTGATCGATGTCCCCTCTGAATTGATGCACTCTGCCAACGAAGGACACTGATCCAACACTGATTAAGTAGCCGCATGACGTTTTTTGGATCACCATCAGGACATTTGGGAGAACTCAGTTAATTTCAGATAACTAAAAATGTATCCAATAGAACCAGAGATTACCATGAAAGGCTGCATTTAAAGTGGTAGGGAAGTCATGTTTAAATTTTAAATCATTCTGGCTTAAACATGTATATAAATGTACTCTTTATCAGACCATATTGTCCCAAAAGTTAGAAAATTTCTAAAAAAAATAAATAAATAAATCCTGTCTTAAAATCTGTGTTAATTTTTCCATTATCTTGTGCAGGCCAGTTAGTTATATACGTCAGCTTGTACACCTAAATTTGGCCAATCATATCAACGGTCAACTGTCAATCAAAATTTTTCGGTCATAGCATCTTGATTCATATGTTGCAGCTAATATACGCAACGGTTGAAATAAGGCTGTCGATACCCGGCAGTGGTGACCAATAACAAAGATTGCGTGGGCACCATGTGGGGAGGCGCAGTCATGTAACCACCAGGGAGCGAAAAGCAGTGATCATCTGTCCGAATGGTCAGTTACTGAATTCACTATAAAGTCCACTATATAGGCCCCGCTCCATGTCGTGATTGAGGGATTTAGGGGTAAGGGCAGATGTTCGAACACAGCCATAGACTCCCCTGTTCTTCTGCTTAGCTTCGACCTCTCCCCACCTCATCTCCTCCTTCAAGCTGTCTCTGGATGATCCAGGTTGCATAATATCACCATGTAACTGTGAAGATTGATTTTGAAGACAAATTAAACATTTTAATTTGGATCTATGTTTTATTTGTAAATGAAAATAGATAACTATAATACTAATAATAGCTACAGAATATAAATTCTGTTTCTTCTTCAAATGTCTCATTTAGGTTTTGAGCTGGACATTTCAGGGGTCGATCCAATAATGTTTGTAAGGAAACAGGAAAGTAGATTTTTGTTGTTAGAAGTAAATAATGTTTTCGATTATATTAAATCGAATATGAACAATGGCTCCCTTACATAGCCATGGACAATTTAAGGATGTCTCCACTTTTTGTTTCATTTCTGGCGCAGTTGAAAAGATTAGGCTGAATCTGCATATAGTAATCATCATAAAATTCCCCAGTGGAAGATATTTGCATAAGATTATTACTTACTGGCAATGACCCAAATTAAAGATGAAACACATTACTAATAGGCTTCTCTTAGTGCTAATCTATAAACTCTGGTATATATATATATATTTTGACATTAATGACTTAATATTACTTCTTAATCTGGTTGACACAAGGATCAAAAATCCTTTATATAGTTTTAACTAACCTCGTAGAAAAAAAAGCTGTTTTTCATTATGAACATATAAAGTAGACAAGAGATTTGTGGATGTCATACTTGAAGGGAGAGACAATAGCAAAAAAGAGAAAAATCGTTGTTCATTTTTATTTTTTCAAGGTAAATTACACAATTAAAAAATTTCCAAAGTCCAAACACGGCTTAATATAACCAACAAATGTCTCTGTCAGGTTTGGTTTTAAACAACAACTTTTCAAGTGATTATTAAGTTTAGGAAAAAAAGCAAACAACAGATTCTGAGTGGTTCATTTTGCATGTACACAGTATAAGATCCCCTGCAGTTAGAAGCTACAAAAAGAGTAATTATGAAAAATGCTAAATCATATAATACAACTGATCTGATATTCTTGGTATGCTTTTGTGTCATCAAAAACAGTAAAAATTCTGATGATCACTTCAGTGTGGACTTTTATTTAACTGATTTATAATAGCTATCAAGGCGCAGAAAAGTAGAATCCAGTATTCAAGGCGGACAAATGGTTAGATTTCTCATAACTGAACCGAAGTGAACAGGGTCGGCGTCTAAGGCAGGAACATCTGCAGGAGGAGAAAAGGTTGGAGGACAGATAGGAGATCAGATCCGACCAGATGAAGATAGGCAGAAATATCAAAAGAGGTAAAGCCAAAGCCATTGTCAGTGAAGTGGTGGTTTTCAGAGTTGGAAGGTCAGAGATCCAGTGAGGTGCCGAAGGAGAATCCAGAACGGAGTCGGGTAACAGTTCCAGGTTCGGTTAACAGACAGGCAGAGATCCGCCAGGAGTCAGAAGACAGGTCAGGCAAACAGCTCAGAATGGGAAAAGGCAGGCAAAAAGGTCAAAAGGCAGAACAGGTCAAGATAAGGTAATCAGAACACATAGGAACATCAGAGAACTCTCACCAAAGGCTCGAAAATAATCTGGCACTGATGAGGGGTCTGAAGGCAGGTTAAATAAAACCAGTGCAGGTGGATCAGATAAGCAGGTAATGAGAACTAGGCAGAACTAAGCAGGTGTGTAAAATGACAATAGCAGCTAGTATGAGGAAGTGGAAAATAATTCAGTAATCAGTGTCATATGTTGTGTTGTTATGTGATACTGAAGTCACAAGCATGATGACTTAACCTAATTCTATGTAAGGGCAAATTAGATGGATGGTGTGTTGTATATACAGCTCTATCCCCTTATAAAACCTCCACTTGAGATCTCCTGTTACAGATCACCGCGCTTTAACTCAGAATCCAGTCACTGATTTTGAAAATAAAACTTAAGTCCATTGATCAGTGCTATTTCAGTGGACATAAGCACCAAAGTTAAGTGTGGGTTATTGGCAAGATTTGATGAGCATTAAATTATACAGCAAACAGTTGGTGTCCCCATGTTTTATAGCTCAGTGAAACTTAGCCATCCAGAAAGGGTAGGCTGCTGCTCCACTGCGCGGTTTAAGCCTTACTTCTTTAAGCCCTCCAAAATGTTCTTCTAGAACGTATCAACTCAGTAGGATAGATACAAATGCATTCCAAGCATGTCAAATTTTCATGTGCTTCGACTTCACAATAACACTTTGTCTTACTCTCCAACAGAAAATCCATTTAACAAAATATTGAGGTTGGTGGAACTTTTTTATTTCTGTCTTGGCTGCTGATTTTAAACAATAAAGATTAAAAATAAAGTGTACTGAAAGACTTGTCTGCCATGTGTAGGTCCTGATTAGTATGCAGCACTGGTAACAACTCAATTAACCAAAGGCCCCTAGCCATCGCAGCAGCAGGCTGCCTCATAATATTTCCCATAATGTTTCATCTAATTTGGAGAGTTTGACGTTTACCCCCTGCAGGACAGACAGTGACTGAAGGCAAGGAGGCACTGAGGTGCTGGTTCATGTGTGAATAGCAATGAAGAACAATATATATATATATATATATATATATATATATATATATATATATATATATATATATATATATATATATACCGGTATATATATATATGATTTTTTTTCTTGAGCAGCTGCTAAAGGTAGAGAGATAATAGCCTCTTTAGATAAAGGGCTATACGGTACTGGATAAAGCTAATGTTGTAGGTGAGTTTCACAACTTCACCAGCCTTAAGATCCCCCCCGCTGAAAACTTTCAAAAGGCATTTTAAGGGCCCCTGTCATTGTCATGACCTTCCACTTACTTCTTATCAACCTTAAACCTAAACCTTCCTGTAGCTCCTAAGTGGCAATGGAGGAGCCAAGCCTGTGGAACTGATGCTTCTGATCAGCGATGGGCTGGAAAAGACTGAGCTGGAAAAGAGTGGAGGAGTCAGGGGAGAAAGTGGGAAAAACGCTGAGACAGCATTTGCCCCCACCCTCAGAGGGGTTGGGGGTGGGGATGAAGATGGGGAGGAAGGAGGGGAAGGGGGCTCATTTATGATTAAAAGGTGGACCAGATAACCCTGTGAGAAGGTCTATTATTCTGCTTTAAAATGAGGCTCTAATAGTTGTGTAGTAGAAAGGGGAGGGCAAGACAACTGCGGGGTAAAAGGAGCGCCTTGGCTACACTGGACATTTTCATATGCTGACAATCATTTGCTGTGTAAAATAATTATGAACTTGTCCAAAAACTGTGATCGTCGCATTTTAGATTTAAAAAAATATGAAAGTACCAAAGGTCTTGAAGGTAAAACGAACAAATTATCAAAATAAGCAAATTATGCGTAGATTACTGTTCAACCTGGCACATTTGCACGTGTGCCGTCGCTGCATCTCTGTTGAACACATCACACCTAATGAGCAGGTGATTTACGATAATGTATCTTATTAGTCATTACAGATTTCACAAGGACACCGAGTACTGCTAGTTTTACACCCATGTTCAAATATGGCATTTTGCATTTATGCAATGAAGTTTAAGCAGAAATTCATTTATTAGATGTAGAAGGACTGGCATCACACAGGAGATGTCTAAAGAAATCAAACTTATGTCACTTTTTAATCTTTAAATATATCTTTAGGGCGTGCACAACAAGAAGCTGGCTAAAAAAACAACTTATACAAAGTGCTCCTACAGCTAATTTGGATGAATGTGGATAATTAAATACTACAAAAAACATTATATACATCACTTTAAGGTTCTGTTCATTACTAAAAGCAGAGCACTTACTTTCCAAAAGAAGATTTGCAATTTTTCCGCTATGTCACACTCACCACGGGTAAGTGAAAATGGAGACGAGCACTTAGGACGGCCTGACATATCACCAGAACGATTGACAATTAGGAGGACCACTTATTTTGATGATCCCCCCGGAAAAAGATCCTTCACCATACCTTTATGAAATGTGGAAATAGAAACTGAAATCAGGGGGGAAAAAAACAAAAATGGAAATTTAGGCACTAAAAGAAACACATTTTAAGGGAGAAAAATTTTTGGAAAACTTTTTTTTTTTTTGTAAGTATGAATAGTAAACTAGTTTATAAAGTTTAATGCAAGCTAGTGAAATTAGAGCACCTATTACAATTCACTGTCAAAAATAAACTATTTTAAAACCATTTTATCAGTTTTAACAAAAAACGTTTATAGCTAAAAAAACATTTATCAAACTTATTTTAACAAAACCTGTTTATTTGATAAAAAAACAAACAAAAAAAACCCCAACACAAATAATAAATGCTGATATTTTTAGGTAACATTGCTGTGCTTTACCCTATTTCAACTTACTTCAGGAAACACTTTTAGCTAAAGGAGACTTTTAGCCAAAAGGTGACTGAACGCAAACATGATTTTTACAAATCACATTAAGAAACATGTTCCACAACAACAACCTTGTATCTTTCAGTGTATTTTTATGTGACATCATTATACATTCTGGTTGTGTGTGTTTTGTGGATGGGGTTGCTACTGACAGTAAAGTAAACCATTTTAGCACGTTCATAAAGGCGGCATTTAGCATTGTCACAACAACTCTTTAGGAGAAGCCAAGCTTCCATTAAACAAGGCCAATGATGCGCTACAAAGTTGCAGAGTAGTGGACAACATCCAGCTGAAAGGCCCCTCTGGATAACTTACTGCCTGCGTTGTATACAGTTCGTAGTACGCAGCAACATGAGAGACGTGTTTCTGAGTGATTTTCAGGGTGAAATTATGGTGTTGATTAGCGCAGTGACAGCTGCCATGATTAAAATGGCTGATAGTAATAGTGTAGCATTCATGCATTGACAACTTTGCTCTGCATGGCTTTGTGAGTGGTGATGTATGACACCATTAGGGTAACCTCAGGGCCCTGGAGGACACTTATCTCCCTCGTCACGTCCTTCACACTTCCCATTTTCCCTCCAACAAAAGGACGCCTGCTAGCCTGTCTGCATGCTTATGAACTGCAAGTACATTTGTTTCTTCCGTCTGTAATGTGTCTGTTTATCCATTCACTGTACATCTTTCACTTTTCTAATGTTTTTTTATTTCAGTGAACAAGGATCTAAGATGGACATTAGAAAGGTTTCTTACTACCATCTAATCTTTGCTTTAATCCAATTATCTCAAATTTGCTGTACACTTATTAACATTTGTTTGGTGTTTGTATACTTGCTCCAGATTATGTTGTATCTTTGTTGCTTAAAGCAAATTTTTATATTCACTGATTATCATATTTTAAAGATAAAGGCACTCTCAATTTGCATCTGACATGGAATATGCTTAGGAGGACTGACCTCCATGCTGACCTCCATTAAAAACACCAGTATTCTAACTACAGATTGCTCTGGTGCAACTCAACAGAACAGGATAGATGTGGAAACATCTTCAAAAAAACCGAGCAAAGTTCTGCTGCCTCTGATAAAGCCAGTTTTATGGTTGTTTAAAGGCACTTTTCTTGCAGTCTGAAGTCTTATAATCTATCCTTTAATGCAGGGGTGTCAAAGTCATTCCAGAAAGGGCCGTGTGGCTGCTGGTTTTCTTTCCACCCAAGCAGTAGCACGCCAGACTCTATTCATCCCATCAAGTCATCAGGTTAAGACTAGACTCACCTTGATGAGATGAATGGAGTCTGGTGTGCTACTGCTTGGGTGGAAAGAAAACCAGCAGCCACACGTCCCTTTCTGGAACGACTTTGACACCTATGCTTTAATGTAAGAGGCTAATATCTATAGCTTCAATAACTAAATCAGCAAATTACTTGAACGTAATACAAGAAAAAGGCTAAAATTACTCTTGATAAGTCTCAATTTGTACGAATTATTTACCGAAATTATTTAAGAACTGAATTTTTTTTCTTCCAAAATATTCACAGAAATGCAGATTGTAGTAAAAGTTGCCAAACTCTTTGAACTGTTTATGTTTCACATTAGAACCACATATCTGAAATATTTTTAGACATAGACCTATTTTTCATTCTGTATACACGCGTGTATACACAATAAAATTTCAATACATACATTTGTTCAACAGTGGATGAGTGGCTTACAACAGTGAAACAGCTCGGCTCACCCAGGGGAGAATTCAGCCTGGTCGGCTTGGTCTCCTTGGCTTAGTCCCCTTCGCCAACTCCACATCCCTCTTAATTTCTTTCTCTTTCGCCCTCTTTCTCTTACCTTTGACCTCTCTATGGTTCACATGACCTCACCTTGAACAATAACAACCTCTGTTTTGTGGTTGTTGCTTTTTTTCCCTCTAAAGACAGTAGCTGCATATTCCCTGGCATTCTGTTAATCTTTGGCACCATCCTGAAGGAGGATATTAACCGTGCTGCTGCTAAAGACGACTTCATGCTCTCCTATAGATGATCCACTTGGTTCATACAGTGATCAACTCTTTCTCTATCATTGACAAAGCTATTGGAACTTTTACACTGACAGACTGTGTGTAGGTTTTATTTCTATCTTCTAGACTTGAATACTGGCTATTTTCTCTTAGCCATTCTCTCTCCAAGATGCAATCACTTCAGCAACAGTTGCAACTAGCCGTCTACTTGTCTTTACCATAAAAAGGACTCCTAGATCCTATGCTTCTGATTTTCTGTGCTGCTAAAGAAATCCTTGCACTAGAAGTTGTTCTCACTGAGCCTGGTTCGGCTTTAGGTTTTTTTCTGTTAAAGGGGAGAATTCCTCTCCACTGCCCCCTACATGCATGCTCAGCGTAAGGTATTGCTGCAAAAGACAATTACACAATGCTGGTGATTGTCCTCTGTCGCCACATGCTCATCAAGGAGGAGTAACTTCAATACGTCAATAAATAAATGCAATCTACTGATTTAAATGTTTAGACCAACTTGTATATTAGAATGATTCACTCAAAGTCCATAAATAAATATATTTTAGAAAATTGGGCCAAAACATTTGAAAAGCGATTCCCACAAATGCTTCAGGGGAGATACCCTGATATCCTAAAACTGATTCCAAACACTGAGGGTAGGTAAATGCAAACTATCTGCTGTACAGTTCAGATCTGTATTTTTATAAAAATGCTAACAACAACGGACATTTTTCATCCTTTTATCAGATATGCACTATGGTGTTTTGGACCGTCATAAGAAGTGGTAGTTTATATCTTAAACTTGAGTTAAGGATGTAAATACGAAAAAAAAAAAAATTGATAAATAAACCTTCAAGAATCTATATGATTTTATAGCTCATTTAGAAAGATGTTCCAATTCTCTACATGCATGCTACTATTGCAAAAGGTAAAACTGGATTTATTGTACAGCGTTTATATCAAACTGTTGCATCTGCTAAAACTTGAAGCTGATTGATTGGTGTTTACAACGCAAAGGAGAGTAGAATTTAATCATCTCATCATTGCCTCAAAAAGCTTGTCTATAAAGTGTGTAGCTTACTGTTGTGAATTAGTTAACCTGCATTTTTTTGGCTTTCCTAACAAAAAAATGAAAGAAAACTGTTTACACATCTTCTTGCCACTGCCTCCGGCGTGTTGTGCTGAGCTGGGCAAATGTTTGTGAGAGCACCTCTGTAAACATGCACATCCCCTCAGGAGGGGTCAGCTGAGAGGCGGCTGAAAAGTAAAACACCCTGACCACTGATACCGCCGTCATGTCATCGGAAGTGTAAGCCAATACTTAGTTTTCCTAACAAGTTGAACCAAGCTGGAAGCATCCCGGCATCTGAAGACTCCAAACATATGTCCACTCCCCTCTTCAAAAATACACACACACTCTTATTTCTGGCGGCATGCAACCCCTTAATTATTTCTGTGGGCTGAATTTGAGACGATTAGGTTCTTAAGGTTTTGCGGAGGGCACGGAGTCAAGATACCAAAGAGCAGCAAGAAAGAAACACCGAAGGCGACAGGATATTTAAGGGAAGACGGGTTGGGTCAAGATTTAGAGGGTAGACTCTTACACAAGCATGTTCCTGTCTCTACAAACTGCTGTCCCTGTCTCTCTTGAGCCCCTCTGTCTCGTCTTGTGGCAGCTACACTACGGTGGTGAATGAAAAAAACAGAGCTCCGTTTTCTGCAGACACTGATCATGTTTGTAATTGATGAAGTGCCAGCCTCTACAGGTGGAGAACCTTTTAGGTTTTCATAGTAGAAGACACAGCAAGATAGCCAGAGATGGGAAGTAACGAAGTACAAATACTTTGTTACTGTACTCAAGTAGATTTTTCTGATATTTTTACTTTACTTTACTACTTATTTTTATGGCGACTTTTTATTTTTACTCCTTACATTTTTACACAAATATCTGTACTTTCTACTCCTTACATTTAAAAAAATTGACTCGTTACTTTAGTTTTGAATCATTTCAATGGAGTTACCGTTATTATTTTTCACGTCATCAATACCAAATTCAATCTAATTGGATGGGAATCTACGTTGCATTTGACGCACCACTACAAGATGAATCGACAGATTCGGGGGTATTCATTGGCGGCAAATCATTGCAGCTTGGTGGCGGTGGCGTTAGCATAGTAGCATGGATGACGAGATGATTGAAAATGAACACAACGGAGATCTAGTCCTATTGGCAGACATCCATTTAAAATGTAGGCAACGGCATGAAAAAAGTGGTTTCTACTTTTACTTTTATACTTTAAGTAAATTTACAAGCCTGTACTTTGTTACTTTTACTTGAGTAAAGAAGTTTAATCGGTACTTCCACTTTTACCAGAGTATTTTTTAACACAAGTATCTGTACTTTTACTCAAGTACGGAAAGTGAGTACTTTTGCCATCTCTGAAGATAGCACACAGTAAGAGAAATCATTAAAAAAAACAAGTCGCCTTTGATAAATTATTGTTCGAGATTGCAACATGTCGGTTTGTTACTGAAGTTCTCCAAGAGTGAGTGTTTTGAATATTTTTCTCTACCTGTCATCCAACTATTTGGAATGTCATGATTTAATCATTTTTCCGTTTTTGATCTACAATTCCTTGGCGCTTTAGATTTTCCCCTTGCATATTTCCTTTCCTATTGAAATTGCATTCTTTAGTTTTTTGCTTTTTCAACTGTTTTTGTTTATTAGGGGTTTCATGGTATTTTTTAGACATTTGCTTTGTGTCTTTTGTTGCATCTACAGAGCTTTATTCAAGAATATTAGACTCTTAGTTGAAGCAGTAAGCCCATTCAGTCCTCCTTCCATTGACTCTTCACCCCTTTTTCTTGTTATTTAAACTTGCTGTGTCTCTGTGCTCACTATCAGAAAAAACAGACCAGTTCATTCAATGCCCCTTATTCTGTCTGTCTTGCTAGCCCTTGTTCATTCCTGTAATAGACAAGGTTTTTATAAGTTTTACTACTTACATTCTTTTTCGTCTGCTCCTCCCCAAATGTAGGACCAACAGACTGCTGATCTCCTTTGTTCCCCAAGCCATCCAGCTGTACAACTCCTCACGTGGCGGAAGGAGGAGGTGTTCAGAAGAGGGACAAGGATCAGCACCCCCCTCCTTGGAAATTTTATGCAAAACATTACCTATTGTCACTCATGTGCAATATTCTTCTCTCTCACTGCGCAACAACACATGCCAACTACTGTGTATTTTTTTTACTTATTTATAAAATCTGCACATTTCTGCAGTGCAAGTGCAATAATCCAAGTCCACTACTCTGTAGTCTTCCCTTAGCTCTCTTTAGTGCAGATGTTTTTTTTTATCTAAAGGAAACATATTCCAGAATATTACTACTTTTTTTGCTCTTTTGTACTATATACATTCTTATTTATCTTTAATGGCATCTTGCTTTAACTCGTTGTACTCTATATAAGCTACTGAACCAGAATTCATCTGAAGGAGTAATCCCATAAATAAAGTTGAGTCTAAATCTAAGTCTACTAATTAAACAGTGATTTTTTTAAATTTGTGGTCCTTAGGACTCGCTGTTCTTTAATACTTATGATATACTCTTATTCAACACATCTGAATAATATACTTGCATTATTTTCTCAGCAGCCATTAAAGACAGGTGTGTGGAAATCAAGAAACACCTAAAGCCAGCTTCACACTATCACATACCATGTCTTGTCCGTCATCCACTGAAAAAAGAGTCGCCATGCAGCAGTCCACACTTCATGCTTGTAAGAAGCGTTTCTGCTTTGCCTCTTATTTTGAAATGTGCTGGATTTACTCTCCTCAAATCTGATTTCTTGTCTGGCTCATCTGGTTTATGAAAAATTGATGCGTTTTGCTCTTTCATCTGTCACGAATAGACTCAGTTCTTTTCATGGAACCTCGAATGGAATAAAGTTCAAATTAAAGGTTCCACTATACCAAATATTTTACTTTGAAAATCTTACAGCTTGATTCGTTTGTTTTTAACCTTTTTTCAAAAGATTTTTACCGTGGGTCTAAAAAAATTTCTGAGACAAAAGGGAATGTGCTTAAAACTGTATCATGATTTACCCACTGCATGTGCCTCATTTGAAGAAGCTCACAACTTGCAGATTAGATTATAAATAAAGAAAATTGAATTAACATTGCTTTTTTTATTACTATGCAGCATTATCTTTTGGTCATTTGGCACATATAGCAAACAAAATGTTCAAATTCCACAAAAGTATCTACATTTTAGAAAACAAAACTATTTAATTACCATTTCAAATTTCAAGATTGTCAGACTTTCTTGACTATAGGAAATTTGATTTTAAGCTAAGGTGGAGTAATGTTTTTTTTTTTTTTATTGTTTGTGTCCGAAACCTATTGTTTCTTTATCAAGATGTTGTTTTTGCCATAAAAAGATGTAACTGAACAGTTCAATGGAAGTAATGATGCATCAGCTCTCTGATCGATGTCAGACTTAATTTATTCTCAGACTAAATTCTGTTTTAAAAATAGCTTGATATTAACTGATATAGATTATTCAGAAAAACATACTTTTATTTAATATCTGCAAAATATTACATCTATAGAAAATGAACAATTAAGGCACATGACAGGAATTTTGAAATGAAATTTGTCAAAGAAAGCAGATTTCGTCTCAGCAGCTCCTTCCTTAGTGGGCAAACACTGGGAGGAACTCATCAGCACCTGAACTCCAGATCAATACAGACTGAATGAGAGTAATAGCTCTCACCTTAAAGCACACAAATTCCAATTAAGCCTAGTTTTCAAGCAGGCACTTGGCATTTTCACTGCAGCTGTTAGGTGCATCACTGGTTAAATATATACACCCTAAAATGAGTCATTGATTGGTTGAGACAATTTCTTTTTTTTTACTTTGTGAGCAAAGCGCTTATTAGAAATGGAAAACAGAACATAAGTTTAAAAAAAAGCAGACGTGAAAAGATCGAGCTTGAAAAAGAAAAAATCTCATTGTGTGTGTACTATAATTTTTTTTTTTATCACAAATGCTCTGCAGAGCTATTTGCATGGATTCTACATGGCAGGTCTAAAAAGAACAACTGATAAATCACGCAGTGAAACGGGAATCCACGACTGTTGTCAGAGATTTATTGGCAGCTGTATTTTTCTAGTGTCAACTTATGTTCCATTAGACTTTGCCAGCGTCTTAGATTGCTTTCCCCCATGCTCACCCCCCACTAAAAAACACTCTCACTGCACTTACACCAACTGCTTCCTCCTTCACTACATCAACAGTCATCTTGCATTTAAATTTGAGAGTAAGTCCTGTGAGACTGTTAAACACGACAGATTGAGATGAGTGGCAAACCTCTAGTGCTAGCTTTAGCTCACTTATCTTATTAGTGAGGCAGCTCTAACACATTTGATACCCCCACAGCTACTGCTCCTTTGGCCTCAGGGAACCCACAGCAGCTTCAAAGACCATGGTCTGGCGTCCTGGTGGCTCACCATGCTGAGATGCATACCACAACCATGTTGCTTTGAGTCCCGTCTGTGACAGTTGCTTACTGTCAGTCTGCACTTTCTGTGAGCTGTCAGTGTAAACTTTAAAATAAACAAAATAATTTCTCATCACAGTTGTAAAATCCTAAAGTATTCCTTATTTCTGCTACTAATCATTTTCCTTTTTGTAATTTTATGCTTTTCTTTCATAATATTACAAGAATACAGGATGTCAAAAATATCCCAGAGGGATTTGACAGTCTTAAGAAAATGTTTACAGTGTAAAATACACGATCTTATAAAATTCCATGTTCCTAATCAGTAGGGTCTGTGTTGTTTGCTTAAATACATTTTTAAGATCCATTCACTAAAAAAATGACTCTTGTAAGGCCCTGATAACAAATTTCTCCTAGTAGTATAAATTGAAAATGTTAATAAACTTGACAGTCTTAAGAAAATGTTTACAGTGTAAAATACACGATCTTATAAAATTCCATGTTCCTAATCAGTAGGGTCTGTGTTGTTTGCTTAAATACATTTTTAAGATCCATTCACTAAAAAACTGACTCTTGTAAGGCCCTGATAACAAATTTCTCCTAGTAGTATAAATTGAAAATGTTAATAAACTCTAAATTTGAAGTCCAGCTGTGAAAACGCAGGTTTATACGACCTACTTTGAAACTCTGATTTGCATCCTCGGCACATTGTTGTTTTTAGCTGCATGAATTAGAGCTTAAAATGGTCTCAAAGTCACTGATGGTCAGCGTCTTTTAAACCACGGCTGGTGACCCTATGATGGGTCACCAGGATCTATTTTTGGTCAAAACACACACCAGAAATGCACACTCATATTTGAAGCTGAAATTTTCGAAAAATTTTCTCTGATTAATGTTGTTGTACATTTTTTATAAGGCCATTACTAAATTAGATGTCTATAATTGACATGTAGGTTTTAATAATATGGTTTTTAAATTTCATAGAATGATTCAAACCAAACATATTTTTTTTACACACATTAACGATAATTTTAAATTGTATTATTTTTAGAAAATCAACAATTAATACTCTATTAAAAGTAGAAATGTTAGAAATTTATTTTCATTGTCCCTTAACTCCTCTTATAGAAAAACGTTTGGCTCTAGAACAAGCACATAGAGTTTTTCTCAACATAGATCCGTCATGATTACTCTTAACTAAATGATACCAAAGTACCTGCTTATTTGCATGTATTGTTGCTGTACAATGTTGTGTGTGTATATAATATATATATATATACAGGTGCTGGTCATAAAATTAGAATATCATGAAAAAGTAGATTGATTTCAGTAATTCCATTTAAAAAGTGAAACTTGTATATTATATTCATACATTACATACAAACTCATATATTTCAGATGTTTATTTTGTTTAATTTTGATGATTACAAATGACAACAAATGAAAATCTCAAATTCATCATATCAGAAAATTAGAATATTACTGAAGACCAATAAAAACAAAGGATTTATAGAAATGTTGGCCAACTGAAAAGTATGAACATGAAAAGTATGAGCATGTACAGCACTCAGTATTTAGTTGGGCCTCCTTTGGCCTGTATTACTGCAGCAATGCGGCGTGGCATGGAGTCGATCAGTCTGTGGCACTGCTCAGGTGTTATGATAGCCCAGGTTGCTCTAATAGTGGCTTTTAGCTCTTCTGAATTGTTGGGTCTGGTGTATTGCATCTTCTTCTTCACAATACCCCATAGATTTTCTATGGGGTTAAGGTCAGGAGAGTTTGCTGGCCAATTAAGAACAGGGATACCATGGTCCTTCAACCAGGTACTGGTAGCTTTGGCACTGTGTGCAGGTGCCAAGTCCTGTTGGAAAATGAAATCTGCATCTCCAAAAAGTTGGTCAGCTGCAGGAAGCATGAAGTGCTCTAAAACTTCCTGGTATGTGGCTGCGTTGACCCTGGACCTCAGAAAACACAATGGACCAACACCAGCAGATGACATGGCACCCCAAACCATCACTGACTGGGGAAACTTTACACTGGACTTCAAGCAACGTGGATGAAGTGCCTCTCTTCTTTTCCTCCAGACTCTGGGACCTTGATTTCCAAAGGAAATGCAAAATTTACTTTCATCAGAGAACATGACTTTGGACCACTCACCAGCAGTCCAGTCCTGTTTCTCTTTAGCCCAGGCAAGACGCTTCTGACGCTGTCTGTGGTTCAAGAGTGGCTTGACACAAGGAATGCGACAGCAGAAACCCATGTCTTTCATACGTCTGTGTGTGGTGGTTCTTGAAGCACTCACTCCAGCTGCAGTCCACTCTTTGTGAATCTCCCCCACATTTTTGAATGGGTTTTGTTTCACAATCCTCTCCAGGGTGCGGTTATCTCTCTTGCTTGTACACTTTTTTCGACCACATCTTTTCCTTCCCTTCGCCTCTCTATTAATGTGCTTGGACACTGAGCTCTGTGAACAGCCAGCCTCTTTAGCGATGACCTTTTGTGTCTTGCCCTCCTTGTGCAAGGTGTCGATGGTCGTCTTTTGGACAACTGTCAAGTCAGCAGTCTTCCCCATGATTGTGTAGCCTATAGAA